TAAAGTTATCTTATTAAATCCATTAAAAATCTATTTATTCACTAATATATTAATGTTGGAAATTACGAACTGTTCATTGTTACAAATTCTACAATATCTGAGTAGCTGTGAATTTATGATTTATATGTATTAATAGACTATCTTAAGGAAAACAGAAAAAAATTCAATAATTTCTTGCATTTAAAGAGTAAACTTATAACTTCTTTCTTATCAAAAGTTTAGATGTAAGTGAGGTTTGAGAACCTGCCTCTAAATCTGTTAAAATATCATCATACAGAGCATCATAGTTTCATAGTCTTTCTATATACTAATCTTCCACTTCTGAAGTTTGACATTTGCAATCAATATATTTCAGTTTTTAGAACTAGTGAGTGGTATTCCTACACTATTATCCCGTTAAACACCTTAGTAAGGCTTTTCACATGTGTACTTCTGAGGCAATACCAACACTAAGTCTCTTGTGCAATTATTCTATACAATCAGCCTGTTATCATCCATTTGAACTTTGTCTAATAAATTTGTTCTAAACAATTTGAATCTTTTTTTCAAGAAAAATATAAAGTTTAGGTTAAAAGTAGTACATTTTGTTGTATAATTTTTTCATTATTTGGTCTATAAATTCCAAGCTATAAATTTAATTTTTACTTTGAATACACAGACATTGTTTTTTTTTCAAAAACAGAAACCTTTGTACAAGTCAGCTTCTAACTAATGAATAGGCTTAAGAAAATCTCTATAATTAGACATTTATTAAAACACTAAATAATGGAAATGAGTTTGTAGCTTTTACTTTAAACAAGTTTCTTGACTGTAGTCTCACTATGAAAACAAACAGAACATATGATTTTCAAACTTCAGTCCCAACTATATGAATACAAATCTTTCATAATATTAGGAAAACACACAGATTTAAAACAACAAACAATTTAAGACAAAAATACAAACTCCTATAACTGAGCACTTTCAAAAGGTGGACCAGTTTACTCCCCAATAAAGAAAAATCCACCTTTTGAAAATAACTGGGTTATAGGGTTTTATATTTTTGTCTTGAATAGGAAACCTTCATCTGCTGTCACACATGAAAATTAGAATTGATAAAAATATTGAATTGAAAATTGGTTTAGTAGTAAAACAGTGGTTAATTGACATTTTTTCTAAACTGGAGAATGTAGTTATCCAGAATCTTGTTGTAAAATGTGTAGTTCATTATTTGCGTCAATTATTTGATTAGCTCCATGAAAATAAATATTTATAAGTTTGCTAATGATGCTAATATTGAGAAGTCTAAAGTAATGAAACAGGAATATGAAACTTTTAAAAAGATTTACCTCTTCTATAAGAGGAATATTGAAAATGAGTATGACTTATTTATGACTACTAATAAAAGACTGAAGCTTTCAGCAGTTTAGTTGTGATGGTTAAAAAAAAAGGGGGTGAAATACTGTTCTGGGATCTATCTACAAGAATTTCAAAACTAAAAACATGTTTTGTTTTTATTACAAGTTACAGCTTTTACAGTAAGGAAGAATATTTTTAAAACATGTATTACATTTTGATTACTGGTACAATCATTCTCAAGTACCCAAATTTTAAACTTGTGAACTTGAGAATGATCACATCAGTGATCAAAATGTCATACCTGTTTAGAAAATATTATTCCTTACTGTACAAGCTGCAACTTGTAATAAAATAAGACTTATAATCAGTAAGTAAACTCAAAATGAGACTTAAGAACAAAGTTATTATAACCTGTAAAAAAACACTAATGATACCTTACTTAGATTATTGTGTGCAGTTTTGTCTCTTTACTACAGGAACAATATTAATTTACTAAACAAAGTTTAAAAACAGGTTATAAGAGTTATACTTGGTTTAAGAGGGGCTTAAAGATGGTGTTTGTTTTCTCTGATGTAGGAGAAATACAACAGACTTGATGTCAATGTATTTATAATTCATATAGGTTTAAATAATCTTCTTCTAGGTGGTTTGTTTGATTTGTGGGAAAATAACTAAAAATAGTAGGGTAATAGGCTTAAGTCTGGAAGCCTAGATGCATACTTGCTTTTCAGTCAATCTATTTCTCTGTTAGACATTATACTTGTGGAATGACCTGCCTGGTAATGTGTGCTTAACTGTTGGTTTAAATTCATCTAAACATTTCAAGTATAGTTACATTTGATTTGATTTTGATGTTTTAGCTGGTTGTTTTAGTAAGTGAAATTTGTCTTCTGTCATCTTGATCTTTTTTTATATTTACAGGTACACAAATTTTTATAAAATACATTCATACACTACACATATCTAGTTTCACAGCTAGGTCCAGCTTTTAGACTGATTTGTATGGAGATTTTTAAATAGCTAGCCACTCATCCACAATCAACTGGAGTCAATGTGTATTTAATCAATGCAACATGCAGTAATTCATCCTTAAAGTTATTCAGATGTTACACATTATTACTGTTGTTCCTGTTTCATAGTCATAAACCTGAATGTCAAATACTGAAAAACTCATTTTAGGGTTTGTAAATTTTCAACAGTTTTTATTTTAGTAATTCATTTACTTTATATTACCAACTTTTTCTTTTTATTTACTTCTTTCTGAATAAACATATTTCATATTTCTCTTTTAAAACCTTCCAAATGACAGACTTACAGTTTAACTCAACCAGTATCCTGTACTTTGTAATTTTTATTCAGCCATCTCATAAGAATAGTATAAGTACACTTGCTCTTTTCAATTAAAGATGTCAAATTTATACTGTGTTTCTTTAGTTGACTACAACTGTATGTAATAATGTATTAGTAGATTTTCTATTATAGGTTAAAAAAGATATATTTACAATTTTTAGTTTATGTAATGCTGATTGGAGCATAGTACACAAGTATAAATAAAAAACAAACAATTGTGAACTCCTGATAATTTTGCAAGGTTACTTTCAAACTGATCTTCAGTTAAATTATAGTATTTTAGTAGATGTTCCATTAATTTATATGAAATAAAGTCAAAGAAAACCTTGACTAGAAGGTTCCATATTCCTAATTCTACTGTTACATTGATATTTGAACACTAAAATGATGTTTTATGTTAGGTTTTATCTTCAAAACTTTAAAAATTTTTTATTTGAATGACAGAGTTCATTACAGAAATTGTACACTACTGATGAAGACAAAGACAAAATGTTGAGCAAACCTAATAATATAACTTGCAAGATTCTCTGTAGTTCTCAGTTTTATTTATTTCCAACAAGATATATGTAAAATTTGAATCTTTCATAAAGTATAATGAACAAAACCACATATTTTAACATCACAAATGCTTTCAGCAGTGCACAAATTAAAGCAATCACAGCCCATATTTTTAAACTACACACTAACAGAAGATGGGTATTATACTCAGCTGGTTAATCATTAGAAAAGTAATACAATTACAAAGGACCAGACATTAGTTGCATATCTTTTCACTAACATTTCAGTGCATCATCAATATAACTGTTAAACTTATTGGTCATAAGTCAAGTAACTGGTTGATTTTACTAGCTTAGTTTACATGTAATTTCATTGTATGATCACCAATAATGAAAAATAATGCCAGATACTTTATCTACTATATAAATGATATTAATTGCACACACACACACACACACATATTATATATATATATATATATATATAAATAAATATACTATAATTAATAAAACGACCTAAATGTACAGTTGGTCTAGTCATGCTTGTATTTCTCTAGTAATTTCAGTGTAGTTAGATGATCCTAA